TCATTGTATTCAACATTTTTTTTATTTTTCTCAACAGCTTCAGTTGTGGATGGAAAGCCCAAAAGTTCAGTTAACATTTGAGAACAGTTTACCAGAAATAGAAGCCCCATATAATAGTGAGTATACAGCAACTCTCAAATTCAATTGAATTTATTAAATGGCATGCATTTCAATACTTGGAGTATGTATTATGCTTTCTTATCTGAGGACCTTTCTTATCAGTGGACCTTTCGATTATAAAATACAGTTATTAGTAAATTGATGTAATTAATATTATTAAGTTTATTGCTTTTTAAATATTCAATTTTTTATTACCCTGCATAAAAGTTACATATTTGTATCCACACTTGTTTAAAGTGGTTGGGTGCAGCAGGAATAATTTAATTTCCAAACATTGAAGTTGGGTTTTCAATCCCTTGTGTTCTTAAATACACAGAAAATACAAAAATATGCTGGTCTGGCAGAAAATCAATTCAACTTTGAATTCACCTGTCATTACACTTGTCGAATGGAATCAGATAAATTTCCATGTTGCTTCCAAGGGTATCCTAGCAGTGTATGGTATATTATGTTTGCAGTGTCATATCTTTGGCTGTGCAGTAATGGGTTGCACCACCACAGAAAATATACTTGCCCCTCCCAAAAAGAATATCACACTCAAGTAGTTAAAAATCATCTCAAATCATCTTATTTTGCAAGCTAGAGAGAACTTGAATCTAAGCATTAAGGGCCCCACCACCTCACGTTTGTGCCACTATCAGAACCCCTCCCCCCATTACAAGACTCCCAAAATACGCCACTGTATGTGTGCCATCCATAATATTGTTTTATAAAAATATCAAATAAATTTATTAAATTATTTTTGTAAATGCAGGTGACGTACCTTTTATAATGAGAGTGCACGCGTACCTGGAGAGGCATGGCTACATCAATTACGGCGTCTACAAACGACTCAAACCTTTGCCAGGTATGTTTCAACAACCTCCTTATTGAAATATTCTAATACTTTAGATACTTATATGCCACCAAGGGGCCATTAGCCCAAAAGCCAGGTCTATGGGCTGTCTAAGGGCTTGAGTAGCAGGCCTATAGTGTGTTGGAGTTTGGGGAAAAATATCCAAAAGCTACAACCATTTTAGTTGTTTAATTTACAAAATTATATAATAATTTATTTGTCAAAAATGAATAATTTTTTTTTTACCGTATCATCTTGGGCTTTTATGTGTGGCCTGAGAAAGTTTCTACTCATTGTAAGATAGATTGTGTGAGATAGGTGGTAGGTGGTGTGAGATAGGTGGTAGGTGGTGTGAGATCTTATTATACAGATTGTGTATCAGGATATTATAAGATATGGAAAGTTTTTGTGAGAGTAGAATTTTGATGAGTAAAGCCCTGTCCAGACTATCAAATGTTGATGTCACATATAGATGTGACATGCCTAAATATGGTCATGATGACATCACATCATGACTATATATAGGCACATCATGACCATATATAGGCACATCATGACCATATATAGGCACATCATGACTATATATGGGCATACAACAGTTTGGATAGTGTGGACAGAGGTTAAGGTCAGGTGTGACAGTTTTATGTACAGCAGATCATTGTGACAGGTTGTGAGACAGGTTAATAGTTAGATCGGTTTAAACCAGGTCATGCGAGGTCACGAGACAATGAATTGAATACACAGTGATTACCAATAGTGATGAATTTTAATGGCTTTTGTCTGATGTTCAACAGCAAAACAAGGAGGGAAAGTGTTGATCATTGGTGCTGGGATCTCAGGCTTGGTAGCAGCAA